CATACATACACATATATACACACACACATATATATATACACATATATGTATATATCCATATATATATGATTTGTTCTTTTCCCACTAATTGGTTGATGGGCATTTAGGTTGATTTCACAACTCTGCAATTGTGCTGGGATAAACATATGGTGTCAGTGTCTTCTTTTTATAACTACTTTTCCTTTGGGTAAATACCAAATTTCTGGAGTGAATAGTAAATCTACTTTTAGTTCTTTGAGGAATAGCCATACTGTTTTCCATTGGGGATGTGTACTAACTTACATTCCCACCAACAGTGTATATGTGTTCCCTTTTTACCACATTGGCACTAACATCTACTGGTTTTTTTTTTTTTTTTTTAATAATGGCCAATATGATTTGTATAAGGTGGTATCTCATGGTAACTTTAATTTGCATTTCCCTGCTGATTAGTGATATTGAGCATTTCTTTATACATTTGTTGGTCATTTGTATGTCTTCTTTTTTTTTTTTGAGCTGTAGTCTCACTCTGTTACCCAGACTGGAGTGCAGTGGCCTCTCCAAGCCACCACAGCCTCGACCTGCTGGGCTCCGGCGATCCTTCTGCCTCAGCCTTCCGAGTAGCCGGAATTACAGGTGCGCGCTACCACGCCCGGCTGATTTTTTGATTTATTGTAGAGATGAGGTCTCGCTGCCCACGCGGGTCTCGAACCCGCGGGCTCAGGCAATCCACTCACCTCAGCCTCCCAAAGGTGCGGGATTACAGGCTGAGCCACCAAACCCGGCTTGTATGTCTTCTTTTGAGAGATGTCTGCTTATGTTGTTTGCCCATTTTTTTTTTTTTTTTTTTGAGTTGCAGTCTCACTCTGTCACCCAGACTGGAGTGCAGTGACTGCTCCTGGCCACCGCAGCCTCAACCTGCTGGGCTCCGGCGATCCTTCCACCTCAGCCTTCCTAGTAGCTGGAATTACAGGCGCGCACTACCACGTCCGGCTAATTTTTTGATTTTATTGTAGAGATGAGGTCTCACCTGCCCAGGCGGGTCTTGAACCCGCGAGCTTGGACAATCCACTCACCTCAGCCTCCCAAAGGCGCGGGATTACAGGCTGAGCCACCGAGCCTGGCTGTTTGCCCACTTTTTAATGGTGGTTTATGTTTTTCTAGCTGATTTGTATGAGTTCTTTGTAGATTCTTTGTCAAATGTCTAGTTTGCAAATATTTTCTCCCACTCTGCAGGTTGCCCATTTACTGTGTTGATTATGTATTTTGCTGTGCTAATTATCTTAAAAGATGTGGAAAGGACTTTATAAATTCAGCAACAACTCCAGATATTTTAAATCCATGGAGCTATACTTTAACTTTACAAAAATTGTATGCACCCCAAACCAAAAGCCAGTGGTACCTTCAAGGCAGTGTACCAGTCGGGAAAAACCACCTATCAGTCATGACCCTGTTCTGCAAGCATTACCCAACAAGAGTACAAGGAAAAACATAAATACTGAAAAGGAAGCGGCAATAGGATAAATACAGAGAGTGCCAAAAAATGTATACACAATCTAAGAAAGGAAAAGCACATAATAAAATTGTAGTACTCTGTAAGATGAATACAAGTCACATTTGACTTCTGCAATTACAAGAGGTGCTCAACGTGGTTACCCTCAATGTCCAGACACTTCTGATCACAGCAAACAGCTCTTAAAATGCGTTTACATTTTTTTGGTACCCCTAGTATTTGTAGAGGTATTTGATCATCTACCTGAAAAACCCAAGAGAATCAACTGAAAAACTATCAGAAACAGTATAAGAGTTCAAGAAGGAGTATAAAAATAAGTATAAAATAAGCCAAAATCAATGTTTTTCCTGTACTCCAGAAAAACCCATTTAGAAACTATGGGGTGAAAATATCTTACCATGCCGGGCTCGGTGGCTCAACCTGTAATCCTGCGGCTTTGGGAGGCTGAGGTGAGTGGATTGCCTGAGCCCACAGGTTCGAGAACCGCCTGGGCAGGTGAGACCTCATCTCTACAATAAATCAAAAAATTAGCCGGGCGTGGTAGCGCGCGCCTGTAATTCCGGCTACTCGGAAGGCTGAGGCGGAAGGATCGCCGGAGCCCAGCAGGTCGAGGCTGCGGTGGCCGGGAGCGGCCAATGCACTCCAGTCTGGGCAACAGAGTAAGACTCCAACTCAAAAAATAAATAAATAAAAATAAATAAAAAATAAATAAAATAAATAAAATAAAATAAAGAAAGTGTTGCTCGTCTCACTAGGGGGCAAAGAAAGAGAAGATGTTGCCATGTCAGATTGCAGCAGACCAATTCATAAATCTGAGGCAATTTCAGTCAAAATTTCCATGGCAGTTTTCTCTTGTACATGATAAAAATCATTATAGCATTCATTTGGAATAACAAATATATAAAAGACACAATAAAGAAGAGTAATGCGAGGGCCTTATCCTGCATTGACTATTGAAATACAATATATGGCCAGGGGAGGTAGGGACACATAACATCAATAAGGGTACCCATACTTTACCTGCATGATGATCATGTATGTACCTAATCCTGAACTGTACCTCACATTTTTAAAATTAAAAAAAAAAAAGCCGGGCTCAGTGTCTCAGCCTGTAATCCCGTGCCTTTGGGAAGCTGAGGTGAGTGGATTGCCTGAGCCCGCGGGTCCAAGTCCCACCTGGGCAACTTGGCGAGACCTCATCTCTACAATAAATAAAAAATTAGCTGGGTGTGGAATCGCGCGCCTGTAGTTCCAGCTACTTGGAAGCTGAAGTGAAGGATCACCGGAGCCCAG